GTTCTTTAATTATTTTTATTTTATTTTATTTTATTTTATTTTTTATTTTATTTTATTTTATATAAATCTTTATACTAAAAATATTTTTATGCTCTCCTTTTAATTTCAGGTAATTACCGATATTGCAAATTTTCTTTCTTCCACATTCCGAGAAGGTACATATGTTTTTTCATGATTTCATTATTTAATATATATGTTGAAAAAATTAATTTCTATAATATATCTATGTTTAGAAAATTCTAATGATCCAAGAAGTTTAAAAAGAAAGTTTGACTGTATGTTATATATTTTGCTTGTTGACATTTGATTAATATTTAATTTAAATATCATGCTTATTATATTCTGTTGTTTAAAAGTGGATTGTATGCAAGCTGAAGTTGCAAAATTTGGACAAAACGACGTCCCACCTTCGTCTTATCCCCCTATTATGTCATATCATCCTAACTATCACAGAGAAGGGATGCATCCGTCTCGATCAATGTCGACTCCACAACCTATGGTCGGGGTTGAATCTTCTTCCTCCTATCATCCTTCGCAAATATCGGATGCTGATTACCGTCCATCATCAATCTCAGAACTTCACAGATCTTCCGCTAAAATTTATTCTCATAGCCCTTTGTCTATTTTACCGGAAATTCCTTTTTCTCATAGTTTGCGACCTAGCACCAGTTATATTCGGCATCGTTCCCTTGAACCAGTAACAAATACAAATCTTAGTAGAACTATGTCTACGGATGCTTATAGACCTTCAAAACCTCCCTCAAATTCGCATCATCCACAATCCTCTCAATATGTTCATCATACTCCACATCGTTCATCAACACTTCCGATTCTTACACAATCTGGGAGCTCATCGAATCGACGGGCGTCACATCCAAATACTTCTTTAAGTTTTGGTTCTGATAGTAATCTATTGAATCCACCTGAAAACAATCGATATGAAAAAGATGATGACACTTCAACTTCAAAATCACAAAAGCCTTCTTCATCTCCATCATCAACCTCCTATGCTAAATCTGAAAATCCAATTGTTGGTAATTCCACAACAGCTCGACAGAGATCACCTCCATTACCTGATCCCCCAGATAATGATGTGGAATATAATAAACGTTGTAAGAGAAATTAGCCTATAGAGATAAGAAAAATGTACAGCCTTAAAAGTACTTTAACAAATATTAATATGTATGTTATTATGTTTCTTAATGTAGAAATTTTTTTCCATTTTTTATATTAATTTAAATTCTCTTAATGTTGTACTCTTGGATTCCTCTATAAATCATATATATTTATATTACAGTTAAAAATCATAATTGGATGTAAAATCAGTGTGTAGGATTAATTATCGTTGTGAAAAAAAAAGAATCATTGGCTAGTCATCGATTGACGACTTGATGATTTTTATTAACTTTGTAGCATGCGCGATAGTCATGTATAATAAAGAAATCAAATATTAGAGTTAAACTTTAATATAAATTTCTACGGTTTGAATCTTTAAAATGTTATTT